AAGTTCCGAACCGCGTCCGTACGTGGAAGTGAGCCATGCTGCGATACTGCGCCGAAGTGGTTCGTAGCCAGCGTCTGGACCGTAGATGAGTGAGGCTGCGGTTTTTGCTTGCGAGTTAAGTACGCTCGTCGCGCCGTCGAGAATTTGAGCCGATGGAAAGAGTGAAGGCGACGGCCACCCCAATTGCAGGTTGATGGTTTCGGTCATGTTGGTTGGATCGAGATGCGACAATGATGGTGTTCTCAGATCACGGCGACGCTGCCATGAACAGCAGCAGTCGAATCATTTTGCGACCTCGGCATGCGCGCTGCAAACCCGTGTTCATGATCGCATAGCCACTCAGCACATGGTGGAGAGCGTGATCTCGACCCCTGCCATTCTTTCGGACTCTGGGCTCCGATAGAGAAGGGGTGTCGGAACTTCGAAGGATCCATTGAGGGGTTCATTCGCGCCGCGCTAGTGAAGTATTAGCGTGTTTCCTAGGAAGGGATCGGCAATCGCGCGTCATCCTCGTCCTGCCGGAATGCGCAGCAACTCCACCCTCAACGCGACGCGATAGGCATTACAAACCCGTACTGCCATGCATTCGGAACGGCATACACTGCGGTATCGGTATCGTCACTGCCAATGGCGCGTGGCAATACAGCTGACCAGGCGATGCCTGTTTGGCGTGTTCATACCCTGATCTATTCACTGGCACGACGGTGGCTTACTTCAAATTCCTGGTATCTATAGGAACATACATCACCTTTAGACCACAAAACACTGCGTCTTGCCTCTTCCTCGATACATCCCTTATTCGTCCGCCCACCAAACATGCCGTTCGTTGAGCAGCCGCTGCAGGGTGCAGGCATCCGCATCGCTATAGATCGCGGCGGTACCTTCACAGACTGCTTGGGTATCGTACCAGGGAAACCAGATGTGCTAGTCAAGCTTCTGAGTAACGATCCGACGAACTATGCCGATGCACCCACAGAGGGTATCCGCAGGATACTCGAGCAGGCCTTGAACGTATCCATACCACGCGGCGGCAAGATTGACACCAGCAACATCGAATCGATCAAGATGGGAACTACGGTCGCGACAAACGCTTTGCTGGAACGAAACTCCACAAAATGCGCGTTGGTCGTCACCAAAGGTTTCAGAGATCTACTACGCATAGGTGATCAGACCAGACCGAAGCTGTTTGATCTCAACATCCGGAGGCCTGAGACCTTGTTCGACGATGTACTAGAGATTGACGAGCGCGTCACACTCCACGATTCGACCGAGGACAAGTCAACACTACGAGACCCTGACCGCAACTCCTATAACCTGGAAAGGGGGGTGGGCGGCGAAGCCATTCGCGTTTTGCGACCAATTGGTTAGTATTTTGACGTGGAAGTAACTTCCTCGCTGACACTTCAGTAGACAGCACACACGCCCGTGAAGGTCTCCAGGCCCTGTTCGACAAGGGCGTGCGGTCCTTGGCGATAACGCTTATCAACAGCTATACTTTCCCGAACCACGAGCTTCAAGTTGCCGATATCGCCAGAGACATCGGCTTCACGCAGATATCAGTCTCATCACAGATCTTCCCCATGATCAGAGCCATTTCGAGAGGCTACTCAGCAACAGCAGACGCGTACCTTACGCCTTTGACGCGCAATTACATCGACGGCTTTCGTGAAGGCTTTGTAGGCGGCCTGGAAGATACCAAGGGTGCTCGTTGCGAGTTCATGCAAAGTGATGGAGGACTAGTGGGGTGGCAGCACTTCAGCGGTCTCAAAGCTATCCTGTCAGGTCCGGCTGGAGGTGTTGTCGGATTCAGCAAGACATGTTTTGATGTACAGCGGAGGAAGCCAGTGATAGGATTCGACAGTAAGTCTAAAGCTCGCGAAACATGTCGGAAGTATGCTGACAATTACGCAGTGGGCGGAACCAGCACTGATGTTTCGCGGTATGCGGGAACACTGGAGCACACCTTTGAGTCGATCACGGCTGGTGTGACGATTCAATCTCCACAGCTAGAGATCGACACTGTTGCTGCCGGTGAGTAGCACTCGAATCAATGGATCTGGATAGTTACTAAAGTTTCTAGGCGGTGGAAGCATACTTTCCTATCGCAACGGTCTCTTCCTCGCAGGCCCCGAATCAGCAAGCGCCCATCCAGGCCCAGCAGCATACCGAAAAGGTGGACCTCTGACGGTTACAGATGCAAATCTTGTCTTGGGACGTTTGCAGGCTGAGTACTTTCCAAAGATCTTCGGCAAGCACGAGAATGAACCTCTGGATTATGAAGGCGCAAAGCGAGCCTTTGAAGAGTTACTCGTTACGGTCAACGCGGACCTGTCACAGACTAGCGGAAAGACGAAGACTGTCGAAGAGCTTGCTCTTGGCTTTTTGGAAGTTGCGAATGAGACAATGTGTCGGCCCATACGCTCTCTCACTGAAGCCAAGGGGCACCGAACCTCTGATCACGATCTTGCGGTCTTCGGTGGTGCAGGCGGACAAGCTGCCTGCGCTATTGCTGCTAACTTGGGCATCGACCGCATTCTGATTCACCGCTACTCTTCTATCTTGTCAGCATATGGCATGGCATTGGCAGACGTCGTTCGCGATGTTCAAGAGCCCTGCTCAGTATTGCTGAAGTCCTCTTTCGATGAACTTGACGAAAGGCTATCGTCGCTCGAGAAGAACGCAGCGGAACAACTCGCCAACGACGGGTTTTCCGGCCAAACAATCGGTTTCGAGCACTTTCTCAACCTCCGCTACGAAGGGTCTGACACAACCTTCATGGTTTCGCGCCCGGATCAAGGGACGTGGGACGACGCGTTCGTAGCTGAACACAAGCGTCAATTCTCTTTCATCATGCCCGGACGCGATATCCTCGTGGAGAACGTGCGAGTTCGAGCGACAGCCCGGAGCCCATCGGTCGAACCCGAGTTCAACCTCGATCAACAGCTCACCGACAGCCCCCCATCCGCTGTGTCGACAAAGAAGATTGCAGACCATGTCCCTGTCTTCTTCGAAAGCGGCTGGACTACTTCTCCTTTGTATCACTTGACAAAATTGGCAAAGGGTGATATCATCGATGGGCCTGCCATCATTCTGGACAACACACAGACCATCGTGGTTGCACCGAACTCCAAGGCAACTATCCTAGATCGCCATGTCATGATCAAACTCGACCGAACGACTACCTTACCAGGCAATGAAGCTGCAGTACCTCGGATTGTTGATCCAGTCGAGCTTTCTGTGATGGCTCATCGCTTCATGAGTATCGCTGAGCAGATGGGCCTCGCATTACAGAAGACGAGTGTTTCAGTCAACATCAAGGAACGTCTCGACTTCAGCTGCGCGCTCTTCAGTCCTGAAGGTCGTCTTGTAGCTAATGCACCTCATGTGCCAGTCCACCTTGGTTCGATGGAACAGGCAGTCATGTACCAGCACAACAAGTACCTAGGCCAACTACAACCAGGCGACGTCATCGTCGCTAACCACCCCATATCCGGCGGCACGCATCTTCCGGACATAACATGCGTAACACCAGTCTTTGATGATGCAGGCAAAACCATCATCTTCTACACAGCTTCAAGAGGTCATCACCAAGAAATTGGTGGAATACTTCCGGGCTCGATGCCAGCCGGCAGCGTCGAACTGCACGAAGAGGGTGCCATGATCGTGTCAGAATACCTCGTTCGCGATGGAGTCTTCGACGAAGAACTAGTCACGAGGGTATTACTCCACGACCCTGCTCAATACCCAGGATGTTCGGGAACACGTAAGCTCGCCGATAACATCAACGACCTCAAAGCACAGGTCTCTGCCAACGCCAAGGGCGCGGCACTCGTGGCTGACCTCATCGCCGAACGAGGTGTCTCAACCGTACACCTAAACATGCACGCAATCACCGCCAACGCCGAGTCCTGCGTACGCGAGTTCATGAAGCGTACATATGAACAAACTGGCGGCAAGCCACTCGCCGCACTCGACTTCATGGACGACGGCACACCCATCAAGCTCGCCATAACCATCAACCCAGACAACGGTTCAGCACATTTCGACTTCACCGGTACAGGCAAAGAAGGCTATCACAGCTTCAACGCTCCACAAGCCATCGCCAGGTCCGCCACACTCTACGTCCTCCGCTGCCTCATCAACCAAGACATCCCGCTCAACGAAGGCTGCCTCCGCCCCCTCACCTTCACAATCCCAGAAGGAAGTATCCTAAACCCCTCGCCATACGCCGCGGTGTGCGCAGGAAATCCCATTACATCACAACGCGTCACCGACGTCGTCATCCGCGCATTCGAAGCCTGTGCCGCAAGCCAAGGTGACTGCAACGTCTTCTCCTTCGGTATAAACGGCGACCACGACGACAACGGCACACCCATCCTCAACTCTGGTTTCGGCTTTGGAGAAACGATATGTGGAGGCAGCGGCGCAGGACCCGGTTGGCACGGTACTTCAGGCGTGCACATCCACATGACGAATACGCGTATCACGGACCCAGAGCTACTGGAGAAGCGTTACCCTGTGCTTCTTCGCGAGTTCAGTATACGTGATGGGTCGGGTGGACAGGGGCGGTGGAATGGTGGGAATGGGATTCGCCGTGTTTATGAGTTTTACCGCGATATGAATGCTTCGATTGTTAGTGAGAGGCGGGTTACTAGGCCGTATGGTATGCTTGGGGGTAAGGATGGGAGTAGTGGGGTGAACTATATTGTCAAGAAGGTTGGAGGGCGGTGGTGTAGATTGGGTGGTCGTAAGGACTTTTCTGTACAGAAAGGGGATTGCTTTGTCATTGATACACCTGGTGGGGGTGGATGGGGGATGAAAGATGAGGAGGAGACGGATCAAGTGCATACTGCACAAAAGTCGGTGGTGGAACGGAGGTTTGTTAGCCAGTTTCAGTTGGCGCAGGAAGCCAGCAATTAGACATTCTAGATAAAATTTCCAAGAATGCAGTCTAGACAACCGCACAGCTTCATTGCATTTCTCACATTCCTGCAAAAGTCTCACCACGCGCCCTCTCTGGCTAGTACATCCCAGCCAACAAGTCGCCAAATCTCCTCTTTATACCAAGTCTCCACATCTTTATCGTCGATTTTAACCACATTTTGTAGTGAGCTCAGCCGCATGGCTGGCAACGGCTTCGTGAGAACGTCCAGAAACTCATCATTTGTGTTGTTTCCATACATGCATGCAACTAGTGTTCGCTGCAAGCGGTCTTTTGCTAGCGGGTTCAAACGCGACCGGGTATTCGTGACGGGACTCTTGGTGCTCAATGTACGGACCAGTCGATTTGGGGACTGGCTTGGGCGAGCATTCTGGGGATTCATGTGGCTCGGAGCTAGCCCCATGGCGCGTTCAAGTATCAACACAAGAGCTTTGACTTCCAGGCGCGTTCCAAGGGCATTGGTATCTCGCCTTATCTCCTCTGTCTCATCTCTCGACTCAGGTGACGGTAAGATGTTGCCATCGATGGATGTGCTGCGGTGCTGTCCAAATGTGAAGTAATACAATCTCTTGCCAACACGTTCAAACAAAACAAAAACGAAGCCATCGAAGATCTTCTGATGCACGGGATCGGTCTTCTCAAGGAATCCAAGGAGACTGATCAGCAAGTGGGCGACTGCTCTGGCCGGCGGCGACTCTTTGATAGAAGGCGGCGTCTTGGTTTTCGTCTTCTTTGGCGAGGCTGGTTGCGACAAGAAAGTTTGCGCTGTCCTTCGCGCTGAGGCCTCGATTGATTGCAATCCGGCGTTGAACATATCTGCTACCTCGCAAACGATCAAACTCGCGAGGCGTGCATCTGCTTTTGTCTCCATGAGTTTGTTGGTACCGACAAGTAAGGACATGAAAGCTCTTGCGCAGACGGATAGAGCGATGGCAAAGTCGGATTTGTCTTGGTCCAACGACATGGCTTCCAGTGTCCTCCTCCCTCGACGTGACAGTTGCTCGTAGTTCTGGGCGACTATGCATATGACTTTGCCGATACTCGAAGCAACTCTTACTAGATTGTAGCACAGTGTTTCGGCGTCCGGCTCTTCACTCCTGCATAGCGAGTGTGTAGTATACAAAGCTTCCGTGAGATTCGAGCCGTCTTTACCGAGCACATCCAGGAAGTCCATATCATTATCGATGGTCTCCTGGGCAGCAGCGGCCGGTTGTAGGCACTGTTTCTGTGCTTGTCTCGATGGCTTAGATCTCTTTGGCGATGCAGTCGGCGCCATCAGCATGCTTGTATCAACATCGGGGACAGGTCCGGAGAGGCTCGACAGTAGGTGATTTGATCGTTCGAGTTTGATGTTGATACCCCGAAGCCTGCCGCATTCGTCCTCGGCCTGTTGACATCGCTCCTTCCAGTAGGCGACCTGATCAACGTAGCATTCGGAATCGTCCCGTTCCCTCGGGTCTGGACCAGGCCTGATTTGAGCACGCAGTTGCAGGACGTAGTCTAACGACCGTTAGAAGGTGTGCATGATCTGGGCAGTCGGAAATTACCTCGTATTGGTATGCCCGCCGGCTTACTGCGAACGATGGCAAGGGCAAGCGCTATCTGTTGTTGGGACGGAAGAAAATTTGAAACGGAAGGTGCATTCTGCGTCATGATGGGCGTGAGTGCGGCACCTGGGACGAGTAAAGGAGACAAGCGTAGTTGAAGCGACGATTGGAGATCTGTTGATGGCGATTCCTGCGGTTGTCAAGAAAAACAGGCAAGGCATGTCCGGCAGAAGAAAGAAGGGTCGAGCTCCAAGCGCGCGTGTGTGAGGCAAGGAAGGAAGCATCCCCCCCGTACGTGAGGTTGGAAAGAGCGGCCACCATCAAAGGCAGCCACTGCGCAACATCCCACGCGGAAAGTCTGGGCTGGTAAACAATGCTACCGCTTCATTGTCGCATTCAATGCTCTTGTTGTACATATCATGCTGACAACTTGGACTTGCAGCTGTTAGGTCATCGTATTGTACATATGGCTTACATGACTACATGCACTCACTACGTGCAACCTCAACTACCTCACCGCATGCGTTCAGTACGCCTCTTGTAGGGCAGTGGCTCCACTCTCTTCCTCTTGAACTCTACAGCAATCTGGTCCCTGAGACCATTACGCTCCATGACCTCGGCCATGCTCTCGTCCCACTTCGTCCTGAACAGCGTAGCAGTGATTGCGCTCAACTTGTTCGAATCGGCAAAGCTACGAAGGTTGAATCCCATGCGCTTGGCCTTGTTGATCTTGGTGACGTCGAGCGGCTGGTTGTCATGCTGCTCGAATACAAAGATACCTAGGCGGTGGTAAGGCGCTCCTTTGTGGGCCCAGGGTGCTAACCATGGAAGTGCGATCTTCTTGGCACTGAGATCCTCCGTCTTTTGGTCCTCTTGGGCGATGCGCTGGAGTGGTATCGAGGTGCTGTTAGGCGAGATGGAGATGTTGGAGGCGATCAAGTGGCATCGGTAGGTGAAGCTGTCCTTCTCTGGGACTGGCACGTCTGCGTCTACTACGACCACAGTGACGAGCTTCTCACCAGGTGTGAAGGTTTGAACGTTGAGTCGAGGCATCTTTTCGCTGATGGCGGAGTCTACGAAGTCACCGGGTGCAACTGGCTTTCGTCCAAAGCCAAGATCGATGTCTGCAACCAAGTCGAGAGACGGGAGCAGATCTGGAATTATGGCAAGTTGCGTAACGCGTTGTTCGAGCACGAGACGCTTGTACTGGCGCCACTTCCTGTCGGCAAGATAGCGGTAGATGGGCTTGTTCATGTCACCTTCGCAAGTCAGTCATGTCGGCAGAGAGCATATTGGCACAACGCACCCTGTCCGTCCTCGAACTTCCGCTTCACAACCGGGTCGTTGATGTCGGCCAGAATAATCAGGTCGTTCAGGTGCTTCCTCATGCTCCGCAGTCTGTGCTCCTTGGCTGCCGGGCCTCCACTGATGCTTGCGTCTTGCGCCATTAGGTTCTTTATCCGCTCCTGCTGAACCTTGATTTCCTTGATCTTCTCCTGCCTGTCTTCCAACAAGACCTTCCTCGCCTCCTGGAAACATTGGTACGGCAGCTGTTCGAATGGGACCTCGTCGGTCTTTTGCAGGGTCGACCGACGAAGGGCGGCACGGCGACGACGGGATCCAACGGGCTGGACATGTTCTCTCCGCAGCAATCGGCGCTCCTGCTTCTTGTTCTCCACCATCTGGGGGTCTAGCGTGCCCCATTTTTGCATGTATTCCGGGGTATCTTGAGAGCCGGCCTTTTGAGCAGCGCCTTCCGGAGGGTTCGACGGCGGTGGAGGGGGAGTCGCATTCGTGGGTTGTGTCTGCACCTCTTCACGGACGGCCGCCGAGGTGGAGAGGAGTCGGCGGGTGCCATTGGCGCTTGGCAATTGTCGCACGCATCTCAGACACGCGCTGAATTGGCGCAGGGTGGGCGTGGAGGCCATGGTGTTGATGATCTCGACGATGTTCAAGAGCGATGGTGCCGCTGGAAAATGTGGTGATGATCACACTAGCGCTTTTCGTAGGACCTCCGCCTCCAACTCCGACGACTGGAACAATTGCACCACGACGACCGGCATGGCTTCCACGAGGATATCCGCGCCCATGCGTGGCGCCACACACCAATTGAGAAGGCTGTCGGTGCGGCCAAACGCGCTGTGCACGCGCTGTGCCGTATGTTACCTCGCCGTCACTGTATGCGACATGCTAACGTCTTCAAGAAATCTCTATGCACGCCCACCACCCGCTCAATCACCACATCTGCGCCCTCTCAGGCGACACTAGCTTCTATAAGCACTCCCAGATCCGGATCCGGATATGTGCCCGTCAAACCTTTTGAAGAGCAGTCTGTGCTGGCGACCATCCACCGATTCCCCTCCCTCGAACCGCTCCGATTCGAACAATACCCTGCAAACCATCTCTACCTACCCACCCGACGAGACATATTACACCGCGCGGTCGTTTACGAGGGCGATAGTACACGGTTAGGTACGGCTTCTACCAAGACTAGGTATGAAGTCAGAGGTTCCCGCAGGAAGGTTAGACCGCAAAAGGGAACGGGTCGCGCTCGTCTGGGAGACAAGAAATCGCCCATGCTGAGGGGTGGAGGTGTCGCATTTGGTCCCAAGCCTCGCGACTTCGCAACCGAGCTGCCCAAGAAGATCTACGACCTCGCATGGCGGACAGCACTGTCATACCGGTTCCGAAAAGGCGAGCTGATCATTGTGGACAACGCAATGGAGATTGAGAGCCCGTCTGTGAGGTTACTAGGTGACACCCTCAAGTACCACGAGAAATTGCTGGGCAGGGGCAGGAGCTTGATGGTAACACTCGAAGAGCGACCCTTACTAGAGCAAGCATTAGCGGAGATGGATCGCGGCGAGCAAACACTCACATGGGAAGAAATCGACGTCAAGAACCTTCTCGAGCTATCCCGCGTCATCATCGAGCGCGACGCCCTGCACAACATCCTCCTCTCCCACGAGGAAGACCTCACACACAAGGCTCTCCAGCCCTGGCACAAGAGCCTCATCCGAGCATCGCCACCCACGGAGCTTGAATCGACCATCGGCTGGGAAGAATTCCGCGAACTCTCACTCTCCGACCCCAAGGAAAAGGACACCATCCGCGCCGATATCTACGAGAACGTAGCAGGAACCCGCTACGCCTACGCCGAGTCCCTCCCCCAAGGACCCAAGCGCAACGAGCTTACCGTATCCGCCTACAATCTCCTGGCCGAAGCCAAAGAACTGCAATTCGCTGAAAGGACCGGCCACTCTTTCGCCGATTACCTCAACGACTCCAACACTGAATCCTTCCCTCGTCTGCAAATGTTGACCTACCAAATCAACACAAAGCAAGATCTCGCTGGGCCCGGCGGTACTCTGGAAACCTCGCCCGTAAAGTCTGAAGAACTCATGATCGAGGTCCGTGAGCTCGAAGTGCAGAAACATGAGGTAGAGTACGAGGCCGCACTGCTCGCAGCCCAAATCCACGAGCACCGCTCTGCAGCCTTACGCCTCGCCGGTAATGAAGCGAGCGCGGATGAGCAGCTTGAATTGGCTAGTGATCAGAGGACTTATGTCTCGGACGCTGAGCTGTTGATTCTGGAGGCTAAGCTTGAAGTAGCCAGGCAAAAGAACACTGTCGCTTCGCTCAAGCGCGATGTTGCTGGCCAGAAGAAAGCAAGGGATGAGATCAGGGTGTGTGAGCAGGTGCTTGAGGCTAAGAGGGCGGAGGTAGATACCGAGGCTGCGGAGCTCGAGGCTGTTGAGGATGAGATGCCAGAGCTTGATGTTCCGACTCAGGTCGAGACGAGGTCTGAGCCGGTCAAGGAGGAGAAGAGGATATGAAAGTTTTGATCGTGTTTACTGTACAGTGTATCTATAGATGTTCATGAATCGTTACACCACGTGTAGGTGGGTTGTGTTGTACAGTATACTACATGGCACGGAAAATGCTCACGTGCTCTCCCTCAACATACCTTCTTGCATCTTCAGCCCACGTCTTCATCGCCCGCGGCTCGGCATTTGCCTCAGGAGCACATGGCAAGGGTTTCTCTAGGTTTGCTTGTCCATCTCATCTCGACGTTCTCTCAAGCCGCCTCATCATCACCCTCCTTCTTCTCCACCTTCTTACCTTCATACATAACGGTCATAATTCCGCCAACCTCACCCTCCCTCTTAGTCTCCCTCGCTCCCTTACAATCCGCCACCGCGTTCTCAATTGCCTTGAAAACCGCGTTCGCTTCTTGCTCTGTCGCCTTCCTGCCATGCTTCTTCGGCCCGAGTGTGACCTCGACCTTGCGCCCCTCCTTCAGAAACTTCTTCATAGCCACCAGCCTGTGCTTCAGGTCGCCCGCCGCTATCGCCCAGTTCAGTTCTAGTGATTTGGTAGCAGGTCCTGTGCCCTGACCCTTGGCTTGCCGTCGGAGCGTCTCGAGCTTCTTCTGGTGTTGTGCGCGGAGATCGATTTTGGAGATGACGCGGCATGTTGGTAGGCTGTTCGGGTCTAGGTTTCCGTCTTCGTCGTATTTCCCCGGTGTCATTTGTACGAGGTGGTGGGTGACTTTGTTGAAACTTGTCAGCGCCTCGTCGAGTGGGACGTTGTTGTGGAAAACGCCCTCTTCGTCTACGAGGTTGATAATGTCGGCTTCGATGGCTTGGTCGATGACGTAGTAGTCGGAGATGGCATGGCGGCGTGTGTCTTTCGTGTACTTTATGCCGCGGGTGGAGGTTCGGCTCGTGAGACTAGGTGTGGACGAGGAGAGGGAGGTGGGAGACGATGTCGGCGCAAATGCTGGGGCGTAGAGAAGTGGGATGGATGTTGTGTTGCGTAGGTTTGGCGCGATGAAGACACGGTAGAGGGCCCGTGATGTGCCGGAGATGTGTGTTGGTGGCATCTTGAGCGATTGACGGCAAGTCGTAAGAATCAATTGAACGGGAGAGAAGTTTGACTTCGTTGCTGCAACATGCGATATTCAAGACCGAAGCTTCCCGAGATCGACGCTAGCAGGGGTCGAGTCGAATCGGAGCAGTGACGACCTCCGCAATCGTCCATGGTGACCATCTTCAGCCTGCTCACGTAGCAAACCACCATGATAGCGATAGAGACGACTTGTACATTCCTTGATCTCGCGCAACCTTACCTGCCGCCATGAGTAGTTCTCTGGCGGAATATTTGTCTGCACTCGATGCGCGTGACGCGAGAGAGAAGGCGCATGAGCAGTACATTAACGCCTGTATGTTATCTACCCACGCGGGACGCGCTACTACGAGAAGATGCTGATGTTCATAGATACCAGGCTCGCCGACAATACCGCGCAGTTGTCAACCCAGACATCCTCCGCGGAGGAGCCCTCACCCGCAGCCAGCGCATCTGCCAAAGCCATCCCGTCAAAGGGCAAAAGCGCAGCGACAACCGATGTATCCTCCCCGTCCGCTGTCGCGCAACTCCGCTCCGAACTTGCCATCACTCAGCGCACGCGCGGTGATCTCGAAACGCAACTGAGTAGTTTGACTGCTGAGCTCAGCGCCCTCAAAGCGTCGGACACACAACAGAAGCAGCGCATAGAACAACTTGAGAAGGCGCGAACAGCACTGGAAAGGCGGGGCAAGGACAGAGCGGAGGAGCTCAAGGGCAAGGGGAGACTTGTCGAGGAGGTACACGACGAGATGGTTGCGCTGAACCTGCAACTCAACATGGCGGAGCAGGAAAAGGAGAAACTGCGCAAGGAGAATGAGGAGTTGACGAAGCGGTGGGTCAAGAAGATGGAGGATGAGGCACGGAGGATGAATGAGAAGTCGGGGTGGGAAGATCAGTCGCGGCGGAAGAAGTAGCGATGATGGAGCACCCTGGCGTCACACTTGTTCTATCCAGTGGCCATATGCGATATGAATCTCAGCGTTTAGCGCAATAGACTGTTTTCACTTCATCTCACCTTCCTGTGGACTGCCCGCTTGCTCGCTGATGCCTTGTATCTCTTGGCGCTAGAGCTCCCCGCCGCAAGCATACAGCTCCCTCGCCTCCCCACCAAAACACCAAACTCACCCAAACAAACCTACGCTGTCTTCAACCATGGGGACCGCATTGAAGACCTGGGGTAAGATTAATCCTGCTATTATTACGAAGTTCCCATGCCCACACCATGATACCCCGCATCTGTCGCATGGCTAACAAACATCCCAGAGCTCGAGAACTCCGTCAAGCTCGTCGACCCCAGCAAAGACGCCCTCTACAACTACTCAGCTTCCGCACAGAAAGCCATCAACGACGCGCATCCATGGCGAACCGACCCCAACTACTTCACCTCCGTCCGCATCTCGGCCATCGCCCTCCTCAAGATGGTCATGCACGCGCGCTCGGGCGGCTCAATCGAAGTCATGGGCCTAATGCTAGGCAAGATTGAAGCACACACATTCGTCGTCACCGACGCATTCCGGTTACCAGTCGAAGGAACAGAGACACGAGTCAACGCACAAGACGAGGCGAACGAGTACATGGTAGAGTTCCTGCAACGCGCACGAGAACAAGGCCAGATGGAGAACGCCGTCGGCTGGTACCACTCACATCCCGGCTACGGCTGCTGGCTCTCCGGCATCGACGTCAACACACAGAAGACGCAGCAGATGTTCCAAGACCCCTTCTGCGCCATCGTCATCGACCCCGACCGCACCGTCTCCGCGGGTAAAGTTGAGATCGGCGCCTTCCGCACATACTCCACAGAGTACGTAGAGAACCAAGCGAAAGCGGGTGGCGGCTCCAAGAACGTGAGTGGCGCGGAGAGCGACGGCTTTGAGACTATTCCGCTCGGCAAGATTGAGGACTTTGGTGCGCATGCAAACCATTACTACTCCCTGGAAGTCTCGCACTACAAGTCGTCGCTCGACGCCAAACTACTGGAAGCGCTATGGAACAAGTACTGGGTACAAACACTCTCCTCATCGCCCCTCATCTCCAACCGCGACTACGGCACCAAGCAGATCTCCGACCTCGCCCGCAAGATGCAGCAGGAGAACAACGCGAGCAAGCGCTTCAAGGGTGGAGCGGGATACGCGACGAACAACGAGAGCAAGAACCAGTTGACCAAACTGGGTGCAGCGGGAAGCAAGATTGCTCGTGAAGAGGACATGGGACTGCTAGCGGCGAAGGTCAAGGATAAGGTGTTTGGTCTTGCGGATGGCGGAGAGGTTAAGAGCCAGGAGGTTGAGATGGAGACTTCCTAGACATGACAACGCGGTCAACTGTGGAAAGCATGGCATGGCAAGGCGTTCAAGGGCGTAACTGAATAGATCAGGGTGGGATGATATCACGAATTGAAGTCAACGAGTTCATCGTAGCAATGCAAGAAAATTGACTAAGACGTATACTCATGACCTCGTTTCTTGTACACTATTGTTACACTTGCGCAATTACACATCCTTCTAATTGACCAACAGCCCCAGTCTCTTCAGCGTCTCCGTCCTACCCAGAATAACAAAGATATCATACAACCTCATGCCGTGCTCCTGCCCCGTAACCGTCTTCCTCAAATAATGATACACATCCTTCGCGCCCTTTTTCCCCTCGGGCCTCCCATCAATCATCTCATGCACCTTCTGCATCAAATTCTCCTTATTCCAATCCTTCTCTTCGATCTGCGCTAGCATCTGTGCGCGCATGGGTATATCGGAAGTCGTCGACATGGGCGGCTGCTTATCAAATGGTCGTAGGGGCGTGAAGAAGAATGAGTTGCGGTACAGGAACTCGTTTGCGTTTGTGTAGTTTTCTGCGTCGGCGGTTATGATGGAGCGGATGTAGTCGTCGGGGAGGGGGCTTCCGATTATAGACTTCCAGTCTTGGTAAGGCGAGTCGGGTGAGGTGAGGAGGCGGGAGACGTTGCGGACCATTTCTTCGAGGGTGGGGCCGCCGGTCGAGGCGCGTTGCAGGGCGTGTTTGCGTTGGAGGAACTGCATTTTGCCGAATGTAACGGTAGTGTTGCCTTTTGTGAACTTCAGGCTGAAGTTATCAATTAGTGTTTTCAGGTCCATGACATCGCTCTTTTCTTTGTGGCTCCATCCGAGTAGCGCAGCGAAGTTGGTGAGGGTCTCGGGAAATATCTCCATCTCTTTGAAGGCGGTGATGTCGGTGTCGAAGTTGCGCTTGCTGAGCTTGTTGCCGTTCTCGTCGACGAGGAGGCCGACGTGCGCGAACTCTGGGGGTGTCCACCCGAAGGCTTGGTACATGGCGATGTGCTTTGGCGTGCTGGGCATCCATTCGCTTCCTCGAATGACGTGCGTGATCTTCATGAGGTGGTCGTCTACTACGTTCGCGAGATGGTATGTAGGGAGGCCGTCGGACTTTAGAAGAATCGGGTCTTCGTACGCGGATTCGGTGACATGGCCGCGTCGCTTGAGAGGCCTGAAGGTGCCATAGATGCGGTCTTTGTATGTCGGGTACTGGTCTGGGACTTTGAGACGTATAGTGTGCGCTTCGCCCTTGTGCGCTCTTTCGTCACTCTCTTCCTTGGATATCGCGGGCGGGGCGCATGTGCGGTCGTAGTCGGTTGCGATGCCGAGCTTGTGTCTGTGTTCCGCCAACGCGTTCAAGCGCTCAGAGGAACAGAAACAGCGGTATGCATGGCCTGATTCCAGCAGTTGATGCGCATATTCCCTGTATATCGCGCTCCTCTCTGATTGCTTATACGGTCCATACGGACCTCCAACCTCTGGCCCTTCATCCCATTGCAGTCCTGCCCATCGTAGATCGTCGAACAGTCGCTGCTCGGCGTCGGGTATTGTGCGTTTCTGATCTGTGTCTTCTATCCGGAGTAGGAATTGACCGCCTGTCCGTTTCGCGAGGAGGTAATTGAACAGCGCCGTCCGGAGCGATCCAAGATGGAGGTAGCCGGTTGGTGAAGGCGCAAAACGCGTCCGTGCGGGAGATGTTGGTACGGCGGCCTTTGCATCGGCTTTAGCAGTGTTTTCTTTGATGTGGTAGGTATTCGAAGAGATCGGACGTCGCGAGGCGCGTGAAAGGCGAATTAGACACGATCGGCACGTGTACTGCGACAGTTGTGGGCGGAGTAAGGAAAACGACATGGCGGTGTTGATGCGACGCAAAGGGTTCGAGTTCGCGGGTGAAAATGACGTGCAGGGATTCGACGTTAGTGGGGGCGGCGCCTGCTAACAATTTGGCCCGCATTACCTGCCTGCGATCGACAAATCTGGAGAAACTTTGTTGCCTTCACTCCCACTGGACGAGGCCCTTTACGTCGCTGTATCTCGCTTTATTCTTGTACATACTTTGGACCAGTTTGTCTGCTCCCCAATCACCCACGCCCAACCCAACAACAACACAAAAGTTTGTACCTCCAGTCTACTACGACACGACTCTCACTAACACGATGCCACCTCCAGTGGATGAAGAAATCGACCTCTACGGTACGTATATTGGTCTATATACTCGAGACATTACTGACGCGAACAGAGGTCCTCGAGATCGAGAAGGGCGCGAGCAAGATCGAGATTAAGAAGGCATACCACAAGGTTCGTGAGCAACAACAACGCAAGGGCGACCCCATTCTGACCCGGATAGGCTGCGCTAGCACATCACCCCGACAAGGTCGCAGAAGATGACCGCGCAGAGGCCGAGACCCGCTTCAAGGCCGCGAAACAAGCCTACGAGATCCTCTCCGACGATGACAAGCGACACATGTACGACACCCACGGCATGGCTGCCTTCGACCCGTCCCGAGGCGGTATGGGCGGCGAAGGCCCGGACATCGACGACATCTTTGCGCAAATGTTCGGCGGGATGGGCGGATTTGGCGGAATGCCTGGAATGGGCGGCATGGGAGGCATGCCCGGTGGACGAAACGTGCCACGGAAAGGACGATCGGTAGAGCAGGAGTACGAGGTCAGCCTGGAGGAGCTGTACAAGGGCAAGACGACCAAGTTCTCCAGCACCAAGAACATCATCTGCAACATGTGCAAGGGCAGCGGAGGAAAGCAGGGCGCCAAGAGCAACTCTTGTGCCGTCTGTAACGGACGCGGTACGTCGCTCTTTCATCTCGCATCATCCAGACATACTAACTCTCCCAGGTGCCAAGCAAGTCCTCCGCCAGGTCGGCCCCGGGCTCGTCACCCAAGAGACCGTTCCTTGCGGCAACTGCTCAGGCTCTGGCCAGGTCATTCCCGAGAAGCATCGCTGTAAGAAGTGCAAAGGAAAGAAGGTCGTGGAAACCAGGAACGTTCTCGAGCTTTACATTCCCCGTGGTGCGCGACAGGGCGAGCGCATAGTGCTTGCAGGAGAAGCAGATCAAGTACCCGATCAGGAGCCAGGCGACATCATCTTCACGCTTACAGAGACGCCACACGACGTCTTCGAGCGCGCAGGCGCAGATCTGAGGGCTGAGTTGAAGGTCAGCTTGGTGGAAGCATTAACAGGCTTCAACCGAGTAGTCATCACCCATCTCGACGGACGGGGTCTCAAGCTCAACGTACAACAACCAGACGGCAACGTCCTGAGACCAGGACAAATCCTCAAGATCGAAGGCGAGGGTATGCCTATCAAGCGCAGCGACGCTCGTGGTGATCTCTACCTAGTAGTCGACGTTGAATTCCCCGAGGACGGATGGCTGAAGAACGACGCTGCGGTACAGAAGCTCCGAGATGCGCTACCAAAAGACGACAAGCCGGAAGAAAAGCACGAAGAGGTTGAAGAGGTCGACGTCGAATGGGACGCCGACATGGAGGACTACGGTGCTGGCAGCGGAGACCCACGCGCAGGCGGCGCTGAGTGGGAAGACGATGACGAAGAGGCAGAAGGTCCTCAATGCGCGACGCAGTAGAGAGTCGTATGGTATGATTGACGAATGCATGTCTTGGCGTTGGGAGGGCGACGTTCATTCCGTATTTATACACGCGCGGAGCCGTCGCTGTTATAGATTGGCTTGCATGGCCGATAGGGCTTATACATTTTTCTACGGCATCACGATGCGTAAACATAAAATGACTTTTTTCAGGCTGCATTCACCCATTCGCTTTTGAACGGTTACGTGCCACGGATTTTGTGGCGATATGCGATTCAAGATCGATTCGGTATTCGCAGTACACTGCCATAATACTGCGCAAGTATACTATTGCCATTTGCCTAGGCGTATGTTCTGTTTCTTGTCTCACGCAATTCTTGATCGAAGGATTCTCTTTGTCAAATCTTTGGTCTCAGATCTAGTGAGACTTGTTTACTTGAAGTCAGTAATAAGATCGAGCGCGTTGTCAACACTTGTCAAGACCGAATGTTCTGCAATGATGAACCGATGACAGAACTGATACCTCAGGGAAGCGCAAAACAAGACCGAGACCCAGTCTGATTCAAAAGCTTGAAAGCCGGTTAGAAATCATGTCATCCAGTACAGACAAGAACAAGCATGGAGTGCATACAAATACCGGCAAGTTGCTCGGATGCAGTCGCAGCGTCCACACCATGGATTCCAAATGGGATCTTTCGCCTAACCCGCATCCTCGTATGTTCCATGGTCACTGTCAGCGGTACACAGGTCCCGGAACGCCACAAGCCATGCGTGGATGCCATTCTAGGACACGCACATATAAGCCTCGCGCATTCTCATTGGTCCGCTCGCAAAGTCACGTGCACAGTGGATCTTCTCCTTGGAAACGACTAAGTCGGGTGGGTCGCTTGGGCATCGTTGACCAACCAGCGTCAAAAGAAGAACGGCGCTATGTCGGAAGAGGTAATGTACGAAAGACATGGCCTGTGCGCACGTATGATAACGGCAATAGAGGATGAAGGGATGATGGCAAAGCAGTGGCTTGGTGGAGTCAATTGTTTTGGAACGGGGCTACGCGTCTGTTGTTTAAGTGCTGCTGCCTACTGCTTAGGTTTTGTTCTTTCACTCTCATTCACTCACTCACTCACTCACTCACTGCCAGACCTTGGACCACCCCGAGGTCATACTGGACGGCACTTCTTCTGTTTTTCGTCAGCGTCTTCAGCGAAACAAGCACAGCCATCTAGAGGCACTCTACGCCCTCGTTCCGTCGTTTCTACTACCTCCGATTGGTTCCTTCGCCGTTGTCACACACGTCTTGATCCCATCCAGAGTGGCAGAAATCGAAACCCTACCCAAAATCCACGGCATCCACACCCTCATCAAAACCACAAGCAACTACGTTCAGCATCATTCAAGCCATGGCATCCCCAGTCACAACCGCAATCGTCCTCTTCACGATCCTCCATACCACAACCGCCTCTCCCCTCACGAAGCGCGACGCCGGCTACGCGATCCCCGAGGGCGCCATCATCATCCTCATCCTGTTGAGTGCGGGTCTACTCGTCTGCATGGGTTACGCCATACACAAGACCTTTGGATTCAGAAGAAACCCTAATGAGTTCAGACACATGAGCGCAGAACAACAAGAGTACATGGCCGAGGTGCGGGTCAGGAACATGCAAGGCTTGATGGCGGAGGGAGCGAAGAGTCAAAGGGGTGGTCCCAGGAGGGGGGAGGTGGTCTATGATTAGATAGCGGGGGCTATAAGGTCAGCGGGTTGGAGGGAGGTTGGTGTGAAGATGCGTGAGCATGCATTGGGTATCATATGTTTAGACTGCCTATCTCTCTTCCGCATACACCGGCGGCCTTTCTCCCCTCTCGTACTTCGGCACTGGATCTCTGTCTTCCACATTGCGTTCGTCTTGTACTACGTCTCCGAAGAAGACATCTGCGACGTCAACCCATAGAATCACTCGCTTCATGCCTGTTCTCACACATCTTTCTACTTTGCCCATTCTGCCTTCGTTCTTGCCAATCGCGCTGTTTACCGCATGGACTAGGACTTCCTTTCTGATTTCTTCATAGTCGTGGAACTCCAAGACGACTTGGTCTGCGTACGTGATGTCGGGGTTCGACCATGATGGAAGAGGTGCATTTGGTTGGTACCTAATGGCGAAGAGATGGCGTGTGTATGTGGTGATGATGGTAGGTGGAGATCCCGGTGATGTGTTCTGCCGAATTGGTGTTGCTGTGTACCTGGCTTCTTGTAGTTTGTTAGTACTACTCTCCATGTCATATGACCGTATCGGGGTTCATAGTGCACACTAACCAAATGAAGCCACGCCATCGATGACATCCTGTACCATATCACCAGCCTTCTTCACCCTGGCATCTTGCGGTCCGAAGCCGCCCTCTCCCATCGATGTTTCGATTTCAATGCCATGGGGTTCTCTTCGCTGCCTTCGTTTTCTGCGGACGGCTTCGGTTGCCCATATTTCCATCAGCTTCGTCCTCCGGCTTCCACCGCGGTCCTTGCGGTTCATATGTTCCACATCCTCGCGGGATCGAATCTCAGTGATGTATGCCGAGTCTGCGGGGTGGTGGTCGACACGATGTCCCCATGCAGCGAAGTCACGGGCTATGAAAGGTACAGTCGTCAAGAAAGGGCGAGTATGTTGTGTAGTGTGGATAAGGTAAACCTTTGCGCCTTGAGATACGGTCGACATGTTTGATATGAGTTTGAGATAATGATTGCAATGTCTTTATCGGAATGACCGTCTTTATAGAAAGCTGAACAATGGATGAAGACTCTAGAAAAGGCCGAAAAAATCTATTTTGTTTCATACCCTCTCACACAGACAGCGTGTTTGACATGAGTACGACACCACTGCAAGCAGTGCGGCCGGCATGTCAAGGCGTCATGGTCAGAGCGTTCGGTGAAGTGAGGCGTTTCAGCACAGCGCTGACTTATCTTTGGGCTCTCAAACGGCCATCACGACGTAGCTGAACACGCAACGGCCGCTGCTGGGTGCGCGCGCCACGATAGAAGCCCAAATTGGAGGTTGGCTGAGAGTGCACGATAGCACATTAACCAAATGTCGGTCTGACATAGCAACAGTGCTGAAATGGCGTGCTGTCTGAGAGGCGAATAGGAGAGGAAGCTGCCCAGCTGCCATGTGTTAGACGTTACTGCGTGCGCTAAACCTTCAGCTTCCTCCAGGCCTGCAGGGTACCCATGGCGCATATATGCTTCCGCCGACGAATCCGGAGATGGCTCCTCAGCCTCCTTCCCCGCGTCTACCGAAT